TCTCTCTCTCTCTCTCTCTCTCTCTCTCTCTCTCTCTCTCTCTCTCTCTCGCAGACGTAATATAATTTAGATGATTATTCAGACTGCTATTTCTTCTATTATAATTCCTGCGGTATTCATTTTTCTCCACGCGGCTCAAAAATTAACAATTTTTTAATTCTCTACAGCGCCCATGAATATGCAACGCGAATTGGCAAATAGTATCCATGTCGGAGTAAGAGCGAAGTAAATCCATAATTCCTAAGGTCCGAGATATAAAGTCACATCTAAAGGAAACTTTGCGAATTATGGATTTACTCTGCTCCCACGCTGACTTCTTCCATTTTTCTTCTTACACCCGTAACTTTCGCTGGAAGTCCCGTAGTCATTCACAATTTCTTAGCTATTACAATCAATTTACTTCAGACTCTAGTGTTGGGTACGTCTCAGACGATTTTCCGGGAAATTTCGAAGTGAAATTTCACTCCGCCGAGAGTAATCCTCATCCACACCGTTTGGATTATCAGTCATTTCGATTTTATCGGTCTTCATTATCTTTATTACATCTAAGTTTCTCTCGTGCAAATCGATGCCCGGAGAGAGACGATTTCGCGAGTAAAGGAATCCTCGAGCCGAAGGTCTCCTCTTATCTTTAGCTCGTTCCGTCATCGAGTGCCCATTGTCGAACAATAGCGGATTTAATAACGCATCCGCGAACGCAAACGCGTTTTCACGAGAGACGGCGGGTTTTTCATTTAGTGCTACTTGTCGAAGCAAGATCTGCGAGGACAATCGCAGGACCAGTAACGTCGAGAGAGGGCCGTGAGAGAGAAAGAGGGGAAAATCGAAGAAAAGCCGGAGCGCAGAGCGCCTTCTGTCTGTGCGCTTTGCAATTTTAATGTCGACATTGCGAACGACTATTCTCCTCCCCTCCTGCTACGCGTTCGAATCGAGCAAGTGGCGGATTTATGTACGCCGCTATTACGAAATCTGTGAACGTCGTCGATATCGCTTATTAAAAATTCTGAGAAGCGCCGCGGGAGAGCTTGTCTAGATAATCCTCGCTCTTCTTAAGTCGCGGCGGACACGTTCTTATACCATTGTTGTCCGTAATCGAAATCCCGAAACGTCAAACAACGTCAATCGATCGGCGAAAATTCGTAGATAATACACGTTACAACATTTTCGATAGTACACTGGAAAGATAAAACAGCTTACGTAATTCACTCGGTGTCGAAAAAATGGACTCGCATTCGTTCTGCATTTCGCAGTTTTAATTCGGTGTATGCACGTTAAATAGTCATGTTTACCGTCGCTCGAGTGCGATGCGAATAATGTGCGCATCCCCGCGGTATGCATTTGTGACATTAAAAAAAAAGCCGCGTCTCTAACTAACATTGTGCGTACACGCATCGCTCGAATATAATTACAGCTCGCTGCCTCCTTTTCCCGTCAGCTTTCGTCGTTTTTTTTTCTTCCTTTTTTCTTTTTATTTTTTATTTTAAACCGCCATTTGTTTCTTTATGCGGTCTTTATGCGCGTTACGCGAGGAGAAATTACAGGCGGGCTAATTACATGCTAGTCATGCGATTTGCGTAGCCGGGGAATGCCGTCGACGACAATTAAAAGGCTAAAGAAGCGTGTCGCCGGGTCGTTTTGATGACCGATCTGGCCCGCGCGAACGTCGGAGCGATGCGAGCGTTCGCAAGATTTTTCTCGTTTCAGTTAAATCGATGATTTCCACCGAATTGCTTTTTCGCGAAACTAAAACAAAGAATTTTTATGGAAGTGGATTACTGTAGTAACATTAAAAAAACAAAACAGAAACTGAAATTAAATTAGTCACATCCATGTAGAAAGCTTTTAAGCAACGGCTAAAACAAGA